TCACAAACATTATGTAATATATCGATACTTGTGGTATCAAAAGCATCTGTTTTCCTTACTTGTAGAAGTTGGAGTCACGAGTTTCTAACGTAACGTTTTGGGTTTGAAACCAAAGTTTGGGCTGCTATAAAACACATCTTGATATTCAGAGTATCATTAGCAGCACCCTGAGATTTTGTCCAATTAATCATTCTCGTCAATAGAAAATCTGCAGTGAGTTTAAATCTCTAAATTAATGAACTTTACAGACACAGTGATTGCATTCGGTTTAAGACTGATACTCGACGGCCACGACTCTCTAACACAACGTGGTTAGATTTCTGTCTGTCTGTAAACACTAAATAGCCACCATTCATTTGGTGTGAGTTTTCTCACGCCTGTATCAACAGTTCCTGCCTCGCCTTTCCAAATCGGCATGTCGGATTGCTGAGGCAAGAACGGCAAACAGCAGAAACCGTCACATGGCGTATCTGCAGCGCGGACATTGATATGCATGAGTTCGCGCCGCCACACGTGCTCAAAGAAAACCACAACACACACAAAATGCACATTTCCAACCCCTCACACACTGACTCCTCTGTCTCTGTCAAAGGAAAATGGAATCCATCACATACAGGATGCATGGGGGTGAAAGATTACTCACATTTCTCCCAATCAGAGCCAAATTGCTCTGGATGGCTCTCGTATTTGGAAGATAGAGCTGGCTGTGTCTTTGCATGCAAATAACAAAGTCGGCCTCTCAATTTGCTTTCTCCTTGACTTAAAGAACGTGTTGAAGGACTGTCGCTGAGTCTCTGCTGAAAACGTTAGGAATCTGCAAGGGAAGTAATTCATGCTGCAGATCGTACTGCATAAATCTGCTCATCATGATAAGATGCAGCTGGAAGGTGGGACTCCTGCCTTGCAGCTAAAAGGTTGAGAGTTCAAATCTCTGCATGAAGTCTGAATGTTCTCGGAAAGGCACGTAGAGGAACTGGATGTTTTTAGGGATTTATGTTTTTAAGACGTTTTGCAATCAGTTTCTCTTTTTCTTTAGGATTACTGCAAACCTCATAAAGAGAAACTCTAAAATCTGCATGACTGAGTTCTGTGGAGGAAATCTGTCTCATCAACACATTTAGTGGCAATTAGCATCAGCCACAAATGGATTAAAGTATCGACAGAACCCTGAAACAAACGATGCCGTCTTCTGACTTCATGCAATAACGTTTCATTCCTGTGGTTTGGGAAGTAATTTCAAAGGAGCAGAAGGCATTAAAGGCGTGTTGGATGTAAGTTCCTAAAAAAGACAGCAGTCTCTTACTGACACTGCTGCACGTTTTGACGTAGCAACAACTCCAGGTTTCATTCTGCTCAGGAGGTTTCTCTCTACGTTGAGCAGATCAACCAACGACTGTTACTGTTCCAAAATTCAGAAAGTAAATCCGACATATTACTTTAATTACAACTTTACTTGCTTGGTTTTTAGACCATAATTTGAGTAAGCTTTTGCTCAACGTCTTGTAAACATTAAGACAAGTACAAATCATCTAGAATATGTGATTGATAGGATAGAGCAGGAGCATTTATCGTGTGCTGCTCCAGTAAACGTCGGCATCTTACTTCCCTTCTTTCCTCTTCAATAAAAGCTGCCAACTCCCCTATTTAGACTGTAATAAGTAGATTAACACAACTTTATGCTGTTTGGCTTTCTGTGCGTTGCATTGCTGGCTTATTAAACGCGCCGCAAAAGCCTGAGCCCGGCAATCAAGCAAATCATTTTGGCCCCATTCTGAATTTCAGGTTTCCTACAGTGATAAAACTGAAACATCCGCGGTTTTAAACAGTAAAATGTGAAAAACGTTCACAACGATCTGGATCTGTTTGCATAAACAAGCAAAATGTGGATGTCATCCAACAAGCATTGAAAACCAACAAAGCTGTCTTTAAAAGGAAGAATTGAACTGAAACGCTTTGTCACATCTGACTGTGTTTTCATTTCCATTCAGCCCCAGCCTACAATCACAGCCAAAACTTTGGAAGATTTGGCAGAAAATACAACCTTTTGCATGTTTGTTGAGGAAAATCAACAACAGTATCAAACAAAAACCTTCAAATCACTTAAAAGTAGACAGAATTATTTATAAGGGGTAATAATAAGTTAGCAGGTTCTGATAGAAATCTCAGCTTGAACAGCCGCAGCTTCCTCCATGGCAAACACTGTAAAACATTTCAAAGTGGTTTAACTTGAAAGTGAAAGTCCACCTGCTGCCTTGAAAATGCAATTTGAGAAAATAGTTTTTTGTTTTAACTCAGACATTAAAGCTCATGAAGTTGATTTAACAACAAGAGACGAGTCGTCTAAACATTGTTTTTTTTAAGTTCATTAATCTTGAATTGTGAGTTTTAACTTAATGCTGCAATTTAAACCAAACAATTATTTCACAAAAGGCAAGAAAAAAATCTGCCCTCACCTCGTTAAAGAGACGCATTTCTGTATTATTTTACTCACAATATCAAGTTAAAAATAACCAATTACTTTCATTTAGAATAATTTAAATTCTTGTTTCAAACTGTATGAAGAAAATTTCTGATCTAACAATGACTTTTATTAAACATCACAACGAATTCAGCTCAGAAGCATTTAGTGTGAAAAGGACATTAAAATAAACATTTAATCTAATAAAACACAAGAGTCAGATCAACAACACACTTCCATCTCAGGATACAAAAACATGGCGCTTATTTTAAGTGTTAACCTGAAAATTAACAAAAAGTTATCACAACTTTATTACTCTAAGTTTGTCTTTCGCAAACTCACGCATTTAGGTTCGAGATCTAAAACTCACTAGATTTATTTGACTTAAAGAGTAGAATATATTAGACAAAACTAAATATGACTCAAATGTTTTGCAGTGAACAGGGCTGAGAAACGGGTCGATTCTCTGACGGCGTCACCATCTCAACATCTGCACTCATTCGCTAATAATCACATTACACATGGCATTTTCCTTCAAAAAAAACTTTGAATTCAATAATGAAGGACTGCAAACCAAACACTTTGGATAATTGCATGCAAATGAAAATGTGTCACCGCTATAAAAGCAGGGTAAGTGCTGCAAAAACAATGTAAGAGCAGCACCAAACAAATCAGAGCCTGGCAGCTTCTTTCTTCTCCGCTCTCTGTTTCTTTCTGGAAGCAGCTTCCAGGAGCCCACTCGCTTTGCAGCTAATGAAATATCTAATGCACTTAGTTTCTTTTGCTTCGCACCTGCCTCCTCAGAGGCATGTTCCTCCTCTCAGAGCTAAATTACTTGATCTCAATGGAGCGAGACAGACTGCGGTGAGCAACAAATGGGCGGGGAAGACGAGCACTTCCAGCGAAGAGATGACGAGCTCGCGGAGGAGCCGCTAGACGGATCTTCTCCGGTTTGCATACGGCCGATCTGAGATCGAGCGGCGCAGGCTGCTTGTTGTTTGCAGCGCTTGGCCCGTAAAGCCTCCCTCAACACACGTCCCCAATCCATCAGTTTTCCTCTCTCTACGTCGAGAACAACAAAACCGAGTCCTGAACGACTCTCCGGGGGGTATCCCCGGCTTTCTTTTTAACATCCCTGCTCTTTTTGGAGAGACTTTTACAGCTATTTAGGGATTGGTGTTGTTAAAATTATTTATAAGAAGCATTTCTGTGTCTGATTCACATCCTGTTGACCCGCTTTACATCCCAGCTCACGAAGCAATTCCTGTGACCGGTGCCGTCGAGCAGATAATGCAGCTGCTTCATAGATATCAGAATGAAATCCACTTCATGGAAAGATAGCAGCGGAGGCCAGAGTGTATTTAAGGTCAGGAATATTTGCCCTTCGAGCGCACGGTCGTATTAAACAAATGTCAGCTGGTGAACCTTATTGCATTAAAGCTGAAAGGTCATAACATGAGACGACCACTAAAGGTTAAATATTTAGTGAGTTAGAACTGAACCAGCAGCAACATTGTTACCGACAGGAGCTAACGCTCGCATTCAGAGTGACTGAGTTCTGACTTGTGAATCTAAAACTCAAAACCAAGCAACATTTTTGCCCTTCCTTATTCCCAGACTTATTATAGTACTTTAAAGGCGAAGTATTATGTATTTTCCATGTGATAGCATAATGAAGTGACTATGTTAACCTCAGTTGTTATAAAAACTGAGGTTTTACTTCTTAATTTAACGCCTTGAAATCGGGACTCTGTCTCTTTAAAAACCCCTGCTCTTTCTGAAACTCCGCCTTCAGGAAGTCATCACAACATGGCTCCTCTATTAACCCTTTAACAAAGTTTTTACCAGCAGTTCACTGAGCGGTAGCTCCTATGATGAGCTCAGTAGATGCTCAGTTTCACCAGCTGTTTGCTAATTGCTGCTGGCTAGTCTGAAGGAGCCGAGTCACTGGGGAGTGCTGCTTTTTCCACAGCTGTCATGGAGATTAAATGATTTCTCAAAGCTGCATTAAAGAATCACGGCAACACTACAGCTTTGTTTTTGATATAACATTAAAACATATCAATTTTACATAACACTGCCCCTTTAAAAGGTCCTAATCAAAGGTCATGAAAGACTTTTGGAAGTATTTTAAAAGCTAATTAGAAATGTGGGAGGAATCCCATTCCTTTGAAGACAAAGAGTGTCCAGAAACCACAAGTTTGCTGAAGTGAACCTTCAACAAACTTCTTTAATTACACAATCAGAGCCTTTAGAAAGAAATATTCAGCTGCTGATAGAACAAGCAGTTATGATCAATGTCTGCACTGGCTGTCATTAAACTGATGCATTTTTATTAAAGTCATCCATCATCAGCGTAATCAATGCAGATGAAAGATGTTTGGTCTGCTGTGAGAAACCGTCTGCTGTGTTCTCATACATAACTGATGAGCAAACGGGGAGCAAGTAAGCGAACGAGCGCGTTGGTGTGTGTGTGTGTGTGTGTGTGTGTGTGTATTGTTACGGACGGGAACGCCCGCAGGGGGTTTGACGGATCGCTCACCGAGCACGCCCAGTCGGTAGTTCATGGTCACCACGATCACGTTGCCGTAGGCGGCGAGGACGCTGGCGTCAAACATGTTCCCGGTGCCCTCCATGTAGGAGCCGCCGTGGATGAACAGCATGACGGGCTTCTTCCTGCGATCGCGGATATCTGCACACACAAAACACACAAAGGGTGAGCGCCCGAAGAAGCCAATAGATATGTTTGTACTTCCTGTTTTGATCAAACATGTTGGGCTGTAATAAATTAACAGCAAATCGTTCAGGTGAGCGAACAAATGAATCTTTCCTCCTACTGGATGTCGGTGCTACAAAATGGATCTTTAATGTACTTGGAGCACCTTTTAATGTCACGACGCCTGCAGAAAAACATTTGCTGAAAAGTCCTGACTGACAGTAATGAAAGAGAAATGTTGTCAACAAACCCACGGGGAGAACTAAGTACACCCTAAGGATGGGAAAGAATTTAAAATGAAAAGAAGCAGCCAGCTGCTGCTAATGAAAATTATCAGCAGGTTTGAAAAGCTCTAGAAAAACAAAAGATTTGGGAGTTTTCTACAAAGAAGTTATCGATTAATTAGTTTAGCTTAACGATTAATTAATAAGCATTCAATTTGTTTAAGATGTTATGGGCCATAATGGGCTAAATTTATCATATAAGTATTAAATACTTTATGTAACAAAGTAAGTCAACTAAGAGTATTGATCAGATTATCAATCATTTCATATTTAAAAATTACAAAACCAGATAAACCAAAAGATAAAAGGTAAGTGAAGATTTCTGCATTTTAAGGCCAAAAATGACAACTCAATAAAGTAACAAAACCAATAAATCTTTCAATAAAAAAACTTATGAAACTTTAACAAAAGCTCCAGGTGTGTGTCCGTTTCTGGTGAATTTTGGTTAAACATGTTTGTTTTTCATTCAGTGGGAAGAAAATCCAGACATTTTACTCAAGTAAGAGTAGAAATACTTCCTAATAAAATTACTCAAGTAACAGTAAACGGTACAGCGTAGCAAAAATACTCCTTAAAAGTGTTTTTTTTTTTTTTCCAAAAAAGTTAGTCAAGTAAAGTTACTACCCATATAAGACCATGTTCACGTCTGCCTCTCAGACTCCACGGGACTCAGTTAACAGTAAAGATGGTGACAGGGAAGATATAGAAAAACTAAACAACTACGGCCTGTGGTCAGGGTGGCCAGAAGACGTGTAGCGTCTGATAGTGCATTAAATCTCAAGGCCTCAGGTGCAAATATATCTAAGACAGAGCCTAAAGCTACGAGTGACCAAGATGGCAAAGCATGGATGTCCATCAGCGCTTAAAGACGGTCAAAGCTACAGACTACAGTGTGCAGAGAAGGCAGCTGATGCATAACTGGAGCTGTATGTTTAAAGGTAACGACGCAGAATATGGGAGGAATGTAGGCCTGTAATGAGACGCTGTGTTCAAAGATCCGACTCTTGCTTGAACTGAAACAGATACCAACATGAGCTTGTTTGAAATAAATCATCCCTCGTTCAAATAAGATTTTGTTGGAATATTCTCACACAGGCTTATTTAAAGGTGAGCAAACCCTCTGTAATACACGTCAAAAGTCTCTTCTTTTGTATAAAAAAACAAGGCAGCATGTCTAAGATTCACAACGTTGCTTCTTAATAAACACTCCTTATACAAACTGTCAAGAATGGTGGCAGGAAAAGTGATGATTTGTTCTGCAGTGAAGTCTGCTGTATGCCAACAGCTGAAGTTTGTTTTAAACTGGGCTCACACTGGACAAAGATCCCAAACAAAGAACAGAATTACTGGACAGGATCAATGTTTTGTAATGGACCAGTCAAAGTCTAGACCTCAACCTGAATGAAAAGTGTTTTGACCTGAAGAGATCTGTAAAGAAACGGATGTCTTCAAACCTCAACCTTCAGCAGAGTTGTACCGTAAAACACTGATAAAACCACAAACAAAATGGATTAATTAAGGGCGTTTCTGACAAAAACCTGCTGTCATGTTGTGTTACATACAGCAATGCAAGCATATAGCATGAGCAGAAACAGAAATTTAAAGAAATAAACTTCCATTTAAGATAAAAAAAATTGATTTTTTTCATTTCTATGTGCCTTAAAAGTCCCAGGTGGGAAATCCAAAAACCCAAAAGCAAACAGGATACAAAAACAAAGCAGAAACATTAACATTTTTTCCATTAAAACCCAACATTATTACTTCATTTTGTAAGCAATCAGGATAACCAAAGAGATAAGTTGACACATCCAGTGTCGAATAAATGTTCCGTATTTTGCACCTTAGAGTTTGAAACTCGCCCTCAGCTGCAGAAACAGACGTGTCAAACTTTTCACAGCTCCGTTTCCCTGCAGGGAATCTTCAGAGGACATAATTTTTAATTTTTTTTATTTTTTGACAGTATCAGTTTTACACCAGCACAGCTCGTTAGTGGTTCTAGCTTTGGGGTAAAACATGAAGAGATATTATAAATGTCTCACATATAAATATCAGGTCAAATCTTGGAAGACCAGAATTAAGAGGAATGATTGATTATCTTCATTTAAAGTGAAGCATGTCACTTCATTAAGAATTCCCTTGATAGAAATGCCATTAGTCTGGGTTTCCTCATACATTTAATTAATCTTTTTCCATAAATCTTCACATCTAAATCCAGACAACTACCTTGGAAAAATGATACATAAAGTGAGTACGAACAAACCACATCTGGACATCTTGTACCATAACAATGGCATCCTGAATCTTCAAGACATGAATGAACCAGAGCTATTTATTAATATTATACCAATACATTCTGCCAGGCAAAAAATTTAAACCAGTTTGATCTAAATGTAACGCAGTTTTTTTTTAAACCCAAAAAAGCAGCAAAAAAGCCCCTTTTCTTCAACTCACAATCAATCCTAATATATATCCCTTGATTACATTTATTATTATCTGGGTTTCCCCTGATTGAAGAGCAGTCATTTACTTGAAGCTGAATGCGTCTTAATTTTAGATACATACAGAGCCTCTTCACCTCTGAAAATTCGACATAAAGATCCTTCAAGGTGAAGACAAAGAATCTTTTTTCGCGTTAATGTGAGCTGTATCTGATCTTTTTTTATGAAAATGCCACCCAGGCCACTTGGATATCCGACACGTATCCAATCTTTTCAAATGCGACCAGCGTCTGAACGGTCAGGTCGCCTGACCGTCATTGTTACTCGACAAACGTCAACATCCTGCATCCTGATGCGCACAAGCGGGAAGAAAAACAACAACATTAATGAGGATTAAGCTGCTCTGGTCAACTCTAAAATGCTACACCATTAGCATCCGTGTTTACTTCCGCAAACACTGAGCACGCTCTCTCTGTGTGACGTCACTGCGCCCTCCACTGCGCATGCGGGACACCTTCAGGTTGTTTACAGTTCACACAGTCGCATATATTTGGAAATGTGAACGACCACGCAGAAAAAGAAAAAGAAAAAAAATCCGATTTCACAAAACAGTCATATTTGGGTCACTTCAGGCTGCAGTGTGAACGTAGAATCTGTTTATGCTGGTAAAGTGTCTCAACTGCTGCAATGATTTTTGGCTTCTGCCGTTAAAACTACGTAGCTTTAGACTGAACCCAGTTAGCGGTGACGGGAGTTTTCAGCCGGAGCCAGCTCCTGCGGCTCTGTGTGTTTGCGTGCAGGACTGTCCCTGATGGGCCCTCGTTGGCCTTTGAACCGTTTCTCCCAGCTGACCGCGGGACGCTCCTTCCTGCCAGGAGCCAACGGAAGCATATGGCACACGAGACTCCGAACTGTGGCACGGTGACAGCCCCGGATGGCTTCAGTGTGAGCATGTGCTAAGTGTGTGTGTGTTTGTCTGCAGGCCTGGGGGTTATGAGGGAGCAGTGGAGCAGATCAACCACATAAATAACCATTACTGCATCTGTTACCGAACGGAAGAGAGATAGAGACGCTCGGAATCCCTTTGAAACCCTCCTTTATGTGCAGAGTAGCTGCTGAAATATGGATTAAATGCTTCAAAGTAATGATAAGCTCGGGTGTTAAAGAGGCAAAACTCTTAAATCACTCCTAAATTGGTTATATTTAACCTCAAATGAGACCAAACTTATAATCTTTTAAAAGTTTTTTTTTTTTTTTTTTTTTTTTTACATATTTCATCCCTTAAATAACGAAACCTTTAAACCAGGACTTATTTCTAAGTCAGAAAAGTATTCACAACCTTTGAACTTTACCACATTTTGTCACTTTATCTCTGCACACTGGGCTGAAAAACCTGTCATGATATAAATGTTTCATATCGGTCAATATTGATAATTATTGATTACGTTTTTGTTTTAAATATCTGAAACACTGATAAACTGGTGATGTGACATTTCCTGTTTTATCCACAGTTTTCACTCCACCAGTGGTGGGAAGTAACGAAGTACAAGTACTTCGTTACTGTACTTAAGTACAGT